GACTTGGCTGCGGGCTTTGTTGCCATCTGACAGACACTTGGCTGGCACTTTGCTATTGTTGTTGCTGCTGCTGTTGTTGTTGTTGTTGCTGTTTCGCTTTACGAGTCGAGCCTAGCTTGAAGTGCAGCTGCTGCCAGATCTGCGCGAACTGCAGCTTTTGCCTCCTGGTGTGATTTATGGCCACTTTATGGCATAAATGTAGGTGCGGCTGCACATAAATCATCGTCCAAGCGCGTTGCAGTAACTTGATATGCAGTCAATGCAATGTCTTAGGGTGGAGCAAGGGGCAAGGGGAAAGCAATCGCTAATTTGCTTGACTGAAAAGTGTAAGAGGAAAACAATTGTTTTTTTTTTCTTTTTTTTTTTTCTTTTTGGCTATAATTAGGAAGTAGACTTAAAGTGATTCATCATGCGCTTCCTCTTTGGCAGAAATCCAGGCCCAACACCTGTTATCCTTTGGCCAATTCCGTGTCCAGTCATCTAAGCCACTCATTGAAATCACTTAATTTTTTCCATTAGACACTCGAGCCCAATTATGCCCGGCCCGGCTCGGCCCGGCCCGGTATAAGTGTGCCACTTGAGGGTTAGTGAATTGAAAGGGCAGTCAGCTGGCAGAGCGCTGGCCACGCCTTTACACCCACACACACACACAAATACACAGACACATGAATAATTCATGCTACTACAAATCTGTTGTTGCATTAATGAGCTACGCTTCTTATTTACCATGATGCTGCAGAAAAGCAAAAAATCTACGGAAGGAGTGGAAAATGGGCGACAGAGACAGGTTTAATTAGAAGCAAAGTAAAGTAAAGTGAAGTCAAGTCAAGTCAAATTGTCTTATCATAATTTCCCCAAACGATTTTACCCATTTTCCGATTTTTGCACTCTGCCAAATGCTATGGAAATTGTTTAGTCATTCCATTGCTTAGCTCAGCTCGGCTCGGCTCGACTTAGACATCAATCATAGCGCGTCGGACAGCAGCTGAGTTAATGGTCAGACGGCATAATGTGTTGGGTGTTTGCGTGTCCTTTCACGAGCTCGATGTGGGTGTGTCTGTGTGCGTGTGTGTGTGTTGGCTTACTGTATGAACAGTTGGACAAGTGCATGATTAATTATATGATTATCTATAAATTGGTTTTTGTGGCAAATGCCAGACAGGATTATACTTTCCCCTCATTTAAAACACATTCCTCGCATGAGTTTTGTTATTATTTTCGTTGCATACCCTAGGGCGTTTATCAGTCTTCAATGTTTGCTATAAGCAGTTATAGGCATAGTAAAAAGTTTGTTCTTTCATAGTTAACTAAACTTAATAATAAATTTGAATGACATGTATTCAACAAAATAATTAAATATATAAATAATATAAATGCAATAGAGAAAATTTAATTAAACAAAAACTTATAATAATAACTAAATACAACAAACAAAATTAAAATAAAAGAATTAAAAATTAAATAAATAATCCAAAATGAAAAAAAAAATTAAATAAATAATACAAAATAAAGGAAAATAAAAGAAATAAAAAAATTTTTAAAAATTCAAACTAAATAAATTCAAAATAAAAAATACTACAGTAAAAAAAAGAAAATAAACAATTAATTATTAAAATTTTAATTGTTTAATTTTTTTTATAGAAAAAATTAAATTGAATGGTATTTGTTTTATTTTTTTATATATATATTTCTTTTAAATTTAAATAAAATTTTCAAAACAAAAAAAGTTAAAACACAAGTTCAAAATTTAAAAAATTAAAAAAATTTCAAAATAGAGCAAAATAAGTAGTCATAATCTGGCTTTATTTATATCCTACTCAATTTCTAGATCTTTGCATATTCAGGCCAGCTCTTCATGTGGAATTCTCAATAAAAATGACTTTCGCAATTTTATGGCTAGCGCTGTCGCCATAAATCGTTGGCAGTTCGTAAGATTCCCGATTTTAGCTGATTCGACCTATTTTGAAGTTGAGGTCACATTTTAATAGTCTCAGCTGCACAGCTTGCATTCAATTAGCAAAGTTTTTATGGCCCGCTTGGGCAATGCGCTAAATTTATCTAGGGATTTGTGTTGACATCTCCAATAAGCAGCTGTGATATTGATGGATGCATGGCAAGAGCTTGGCGTGGGAAAGCTAATTGTAGGCATCTCTCATCTAGCATCTCTCAAAATCATGATATCAAAAGCAGAACGGCAGTTAGGTCGGCTCATTACCGCCATGGGGAGTCGACCGTTGGCTGGTCGAATTGCAGCTAGACACGGAAGCCAATTAGAGTTGCCATCGGGAAATGGTCCAATTGAATACACATACATAAGCTAGTCCAATTAGCGCTTGGATCATAAAATCCATAACACCAAGCCCAAGTCGCAGCGGAGCCAGCAACAACAACTAACTCAATCATTATGCAATTAGGCAACAGCCCAAAGGGCAACAGATCCCAATTTCATATCAATGGCTCCCTTACAGATAGTTGGAGAGCTGGAGATAGAGAGAGATATGAGGGCACACATTAAATCACGCGACCCATTAATAAAATTGTTAAAGTTCTACGCAATGTGCCGCCTCGACATTTTAATGGCCAAACAGAAGTTTCAGAAAAATATTTAATCATTGTCGCTTGGCATCGTTGCCGGCCATAGATATGCCATAATTCGTTTGAAAACAATTTGTATGCTTTGATTTGATTTGTGGCAGCTCGCCACTTGCAGCTGCAGCTGCCTCTATCTCTCTGTCTCTCACTCTGTCTCCCTCTCTGTCTCTGTGTGTGGATGCCAGCAGACATCATTTTTATCACCCTGTTTGTGGGCCCATTAAACGGTTGTGTAAATTCTGAAAACAAATCAAATTTTAACAAAATTTTTTGAAGAAGACATTAAAAATTAGAGATACGCAATTGAGTATTAAAGTTGATTTTTGTCGCTCTTAGATTTTCTTGGCGCTGAGGTCAAGTGAATTGACGAACTAAGTTGAACTATTGAATGGGAATAATAAAGGGGAGTCAAGTGCTTTTTTTATATTATTAGTTAGTCCAAGCTAAGCAAAAAGAAATCGTAAAAGTTCAGCGGATTTAACTCCAAAGATTTTAGAAGTCAACAAATATTAGAATTTTTTTTTTTATTATACATTTACTATTTTTTAATTTTTATAAGATTAAGTTTTAATTTATTTCCCCATTTATATATGTTTTCTGTTGTTATATAGCGACTACTAGAGATATGGATGATAAAATGAACTAAAATGAAACGATGTGGTATGTTATGAGTTATCCTCTGGAGTACTTTGCTTTGAGGATGAGGCGGGGCATACTTAAATAAATTCAAATGTTTGTATGTAAGTGTATATAGATTAAACATATTAGTGTATTATATACAGCTGTGAAAAATTAAATCGCACCACTTGCAAATGCAAAGCTTAAGAAATTCTCCTCGATATATTTATAAATGTATTAATCTACTTTTTTTCTTATTATAAGCAGAAAGCAATAAATTATTGCAATAAATAACAATTATCATCAGCATTTTTATACATTTTCAAAAATTCCCAAAATTGTCGAAAAAAAATGCAAGTGGTTCTATTTTGTTTTTCACAGCTGTATATATATGTGGGTAAAATTTATATGTCAATTATATATTTTAAGGGGTGTATTTATTATTATTATCATGAGTGTATATTTATGGATTATATGTATTTATAGATTATTAACGAATTATTATTTCTATTTATTTATTTCTTAGAGATCATAATTAATTTGAAATGAAGATTAACTTAAGAATTAAGCACTGGCATCTGTAGCCTTCGCCTTCCCTATATATATTTCGGTTGGATTATATATATTTTTTCGCATTTTATAAACCTTTGAAGAAAATATATTTCCATAAATTTTATCAGCAAATCTTATCATATTTCACCTCCTGCCCTCAACATGTCTAATCCACCAGTTCTTCAACCTTTTAGCATATTTTGTTGCAACTGTACCAAGTTGCAGTTGGAGTTGTCGCAACTCTGCCGCAACATCTTTGATTGACAATTGTGCAACAGAGTGTGCCATACGCCTGCCAAGGGGGACGCATGTGCTTTTGGAATTGGAGGACTTATCAGGGCAGAGCATCATCTAATGTCATGCCTGACATGAGCTGGCAGCAGAGCAGCAGAGGCCCCCAAACTGTCACTTGCTGTTAGCTGCCTTTGACAGAGCATTATTTTTCATTCGTATGCATAGAAATCTGTTGAAACGGGGCGCACGCGCATTGTCCTACCCCAAGTGTGGGGCGGCAGCCCAACATGTGTTGCATATTACTTGGAAAATGCCTCGAATAGTTGCAGTCACTCGCACAGATGTTTTGGCWGCAGGCGAGAGATCCACCGAGCGAGCGAGCGACCTGGGTGAAAACTAATGCCCAGCTAAAGTGACGTTTTCATTTTTTCGGAAAATCCCCCAGTCGACTTAGTGCGCTGTCGACGGCTCGACATTGGCTATTTTTAACCACGTGGCTGGCGCGTGTGGCAGGCGGTCGACCCCCGAAACCGATCCGATCCGAACCGAACCGAAGTGCAGGGCGGGCCCCCCATTTGCCGCCCTCGTGAATGAATTTATAAATAAAATCAGAGATCACGGGCCGCCACTTCTGGGGAAATCCATCTGTGAATAAGACGAATACATGTATATGTCTCCTGCTGAGTTTTTCTTTGTGCATTTTTTTTTCTGTGTTTTCCTCTAACATTTCGTGACTTTTCTCACTTTTTTTTTCTGCTCAGTTGTTTGTAAATTTGTTGAATAAATGCTTTATTATCAGCGCCCAAAAATTGTTGGGGTGTCTTGATAGGGCGCTGATGGCTGTTGGCTTCTAATGAAGCCTGTCTAGCTGTCATCGACACGAAACTGATTTATTTTAGTTATAGCAGCAAAAGAAGAAGAAGAAGCAGGCTGCTGCTGAGCAGGAGGAGGAGTTTGTAATCTGAGCTCTGCTCCAGTTCAGTCCAAAGTTCAAGCTGTTCGCTTTCAAAGACCTTTATTGCTAGTTAAAATAAAATATTAGATAAATGGATGTAGATTGCCAGCTCCTAATTCTGACGATCCTCGATCTTCACCACCATTATAAATCCACCCACATTCTTGCCACCGGTAAAGAACGTTATGATGGCCTTGACCATGCCGCGTGGCACTTGCTCGGGCCAATCCTGCGTATTGAACAGCACGCTTTTGATATAGTACTCGCCCTTGGGTATGGGGCAGGTGTCCTCGCCGACGAGTGGAAAATTCGTGGTCTCACCGTCGCTGACCGACGGCTGCACGAACTGCACATAGAACTTCTTGAAGCACTCGCAGATGCTGGTCTGCGGCACATCGAAGACCATGCGCTTGAAGTCGCCATCGTTGTTGGGACTGGAGTAGAGCTCCACAGAGACCTTGAAGTCGTCGTTGTCCATGTCGCCCAGAAATGAGAAGGAACCGTTGATCGCACGTTCCCGTCCGATTGTCTTCAGATTGTCGAAAATGACAAGCGTCTCCGAGTCGCCCTCGAAGGGCTCCAACTGCTCATTGCTGACCACATAGGCTTGCTCGCCCTGCTCGAAAGGACATCTCAATTGACATCAGACAACTCACTCTCTACTGCAACTAACTCATATTTACCGCAATGTGATGCACCACCTGGGCAACTATCAAAACGATTGCCCACTTCATTTCGAGCTCGGATCGCACAGTAGCCAATCGTGACAATTGCCCGCTCTATTTATCCACTGGCCCCGGGGCCTATTTACGGCACGCGATATTCATGTTCTCTATCCCATGCTGTTTCCACCAATCAGTTTCGTGTTTGTCGATCTTGTCGCAGCATGTTAAATCAGCTACAAAGTTGTTAATTATAAATTTTTGTAATATTTTCATGAAAGGTTGTAATGCCTTTGGCTGGTATTTATTTTCAGCTATTTTAATAAGTCATAAATTGTCAGCGCAATATCTGTGATCGCATTTTTGTCGTCCCTGGCAGCTGACTTGACAGCGTGATCGATTCATGTTGATCAGAAAAGGGCGAAGGCTTGAATTAGTTGATGTACTTGGCCTTTGTTAATATATGGACTAAAAATAAATCACGTGATACATGAAATCTATATTACTCTTACTTATTATTATTATATATATATGTCTTAGTTTTAGTTTTATTTAAATTTTAGGTATTTTTAATTATTATTACTGAATATATTGAATGAGAGCACTGCTCGCAGTTCATTAGATAGCGAAATGGCAACGATACAAGAACATTATTGCCTTTCACTTTCTACTACTTTTATTCCCTTTATCTATGCCAGTTCCATATGCTTCATATGGCATGTTTCACATATTCCGTTCCATTTCATTCCCCTCAAAATCTCTGCCACGTCCCATAAATTCCACTCTACATTGCACATCATTTTAATGTTCGCCCTGTAAGTGCTGAGAGCACTTCAAGCATAAGGTTCGATAGCGTCACGTAGTTGGACGCAGAGTCTACTTTTCTAATTCGACTTTAATACCAGTTGCTATGCTATGCTCATATGCTCTTCATTTCATACCGATTTGTCTCTAATTTTGGATTGAGTTTAGATTCCAAACAATCAGTGCCTCACTTTAGCCAGGATGACGGCCAAGGTCCCATGTACTTTTACTTTAATTTTGTCGGCTCCGTTCCCTTTAATTTTTCATACGCTCTGCTGACTCAATGCCTAATAATATTTGGCGTGCACAAAAATAATTTTAGTATTTGATTAATTTTATGAAATAATATAATAATATATAACCA